TCTTGTACAGTCGTCATGAGAACTGCTTGGCTTGGATTAAATACCTGGGTTTAGGGTTGTGAGTATACACCCCTGAGAAATCTTATGCTAGTACAAAACAGTTGTCCTTCACTGCATGATTTTCAATGCTAGCCCAAATATGATTAATCTAAGACGAAAATTGCTGATTAAGTTGGTATTGTTATCAAATTTAGTAACACTCTATGAATTAAGAAAATCAAACTACAAAAAAAGCATGAACGAGTCGGTATTAACAAGATAATCTTCACAGTAAGTTCATATGGTGACAGAGAATGATCAGTTCTAGTACTGGATATCAACAACAGGAGTTCAAAAACCCTTACTGATAATTTGATTTCTGTTGAATAAGTCAGTAGCTTAATCGGTAATGGATTGACTATTGATAAGGAAAATATTGAGTTTGACTCTAATTTACATAACAGACTGAAATGCAGGTACACACAAATAGAGAGAAGCGCTCGGCCCACATCCCACTAGTATGTGTGCTCACTGCCGGAGATTGTCATTCTTGTACGAAACACCTCTCCGTTGCTTCACGGTTTTCAATGATAGTTGAACTACTATCAATTCTTGATGTGAGCAATTTAAACTCAACAAATTTCACAAAACTCTAAGGTAACAACAGTAATAATAACCTATGAATATTTGAATAAATATGAGGAAATGTAATGTATTTCGTATACACCAATAAACAACTCGAATTTAACAAGAAATCGAAAGGATTAATTGGACAGGATCTTGTGAAATCCCGTCCAAATGACTTTCAAACACGTTTCAAATAATAATGAATTTCATGGAAAGAAATAATTGAATTGCTTTTGAATATATTTCTTATAAGTAATGCAGTGTATGCTAAGTAAAAACCGGAGTCAGACAAGAATGTCTACTCTCCCCCTTCCTCATTCTTATGTTGATCGAGTAGTTTATGAAGATCTCGACATCTGAAAGGAAACACGGAACACAGTGGACGGCTCAAAGCTAATTAATCCATTTGGACTTTGCAGATGACCTATCCCTCCTATCCCATACACACGAACAAGTGCAGATGAAGACAGATAGTGTAGCAGCAGCCTCTCTCACAGTGCGCTTCAACATACACAAAGGAAAAACCAATACCCTTGAATACAATCACACTTGACGGCGAAAATCTGGAAGATGTGAAATCTTTCACGTACCTAGAAAGCGTCATCAATGAACAAGGAGAATCCGATGCAGATGTGAAAGCGAGGATTAGCTAAGCAAGGTCCGCATTCCTACTATTGAAGAACATATGGAACTCAAAACAACTGTCAACCAATAACAAAGTTACAATCTTCAACCTGAACATCAAGATAGTTCTACTGTACGGAGCTGGAACTTGAAGAATCACTACAACCATCATCAAGAAGGTACAAGTATTTAAAAATAGTTGTCTGCGCAAGATCCTCAACATCCATTGGCCGGATACCATCAGTAAAGCCTACTGTGGGAGAGAACAAACCAGCCTTCAGCTGAAGAGGAATTTAGGAGAAGATGATGGAAATTAATAAGAGATACATTACGGAAATCACTAAACTGCATCACGAAACAAGCCCTAACTTGGTTGTCCAGAGATTCCAGGTTTTTAATGCTTATCCAACATTGGTTAGTACACGAATCAAAGAAATATTTTTTGCAAAAGGGGTTTTGTGGAGATTTTAGTAGTTTCAATAAATGAAATCATGAGTCGATTGAAACTAGACCATCATGGAAGACCTAGAAGCACTGGACGGCCGTTTCGTCCTATTATAGGACTACTCAGCAGTGCACATCAACTCACTGAAGGCAATGGTGATGGTGGAGCGGTCTCGTGAATTGGTTGAAAATAGACATAAACACCGTTGTATGCCAGCTCAATGGCCTAATGGTTCAGTTCGGATGGTGCACACTTTTTTTCATCAGATTTTCAATACATGAATTCCAATATACTTGTCTTTGTTCCTTTTTTCTTATCAAAAGAATAATAATAAAGAGGACATTATACGAACAACTGGAGTAGCTTGATGCAACATTCCCAGTATTAAAGTGTGTTTATTTTAATACTTGCACAGCTCATCCATCCATCTACCCATCAATCCATCATGTAATGATGTTATATTCACGATTGACTTTGATTTCAGTAGTAAATCAGTAGTATCAATGATGGTTCTGACACAATGAAAGTGTTACTCAAAGACACTTATATAAAAAAGTGTATACTTGATAAAGAACTATCAACATCAGTTTCAAGTTACTTTTTCTTATCAAAGTATGTGTTAAGATCTGTTATTAATGTTTACTTATTCAATCTAATTACTGATAAACTTGGAAATCACTGACATTATGGTTCGTATATTTTCTTATACTTTGTCTGTTCTCTGAACAAAAAAAAGAGGCGATTTTTTACGACTTATATATAAAATATATTTGTGGTGCGTTCGGATGTTGACTGATATAAGTGGTATGTATCATCAATCGAAAGTGAAATGCCTAGTGGTAGAAGGTCAAGAAGATCGAAGAGAATGAATACAGAGAATGATTAGTGCAGAAAAGAAGTAACGATCAAGTCTTACTTACTTACTTACTTACTTACTTACTTACTTACTTACTTACTTACGCCCGTTACTCCTCTTGAAGGAGCATAGGCCGCTCACCAGCATTCTCCATCCAACCCTGTCCTGGGCAATCCCTTCTAGCTCCTTCCAGTTGTAATTCATCCTTTTCATATCTGCTTCTATTATCCGACGCAATGTGTTCTTTGGCCTTCCTCTTTTCCGCTTCCCTTCAGGATTCCAAGTTAGGGCTTGTCTCGTGATACAGTTTGACGATTTGCGTAATGTATGTCCTATCCATTTCCATCGTCTTCTCCTAATTTCTTCTTCAGCTGGAAGTTGGTTTTTTCTCTCCCACAGAACGCTATTGCTGATGGTATCCGGCCAATGGATGTTGAGTATCTTGCGTAGACAGTTATTTATAAATACTTGTACTTTTTTGATTGTGGTTGTTGTAGTTCTCCAAGTTCCAGCTCCATACAGTAGAACTGCCTTGACGTTCGTATTGAAGATTCTCACTTTGATATTGGTTGACAGTTGTTTTGAGTTCCATATGTTCTTCAATAGTAGGAATGCGGCCCTTGCTTCACCAATCCTCGCCTTTACGTCTGCATCGGATCCTCCTTGTTCATCGATGATGCTTCCTAAGTATGTGAAGGACTCTACATCTTCCAGAGTTTCGCCATCAATTGTGATTGGATTGCTGTTCTCCGCTTTGAACTTGATGACCTTGGTTTTCCCTTTGTGTATGCTGAGGCCTACTGATGCAGAGACTGCTGCTACATTGGCTGTCTTCATCTGCATCTGTTCGTGTGTACGTGATAGGAGGGCTAGGTCATCTGCGAAGTCCAAATCGACCAATTGATACTGAGATGTCCATTGTATTCCGTGTTTTCCTTCCGATGTTGAGGTCTTCATAATCCAGTCGACCACCAGAAGAAAGAGGCAGGGAGAGAGTAAACAGCCTTGTCTGACTCCGGTCCTTACTTGGAATGCATCTGTCAGCTGTCCTCCATGCACTAGTTTGCACTGTATTCCGTCGTATGAGTTCCGGATAATATTGACAATCTTCTCAGGAACTCCGTAGTGTCGAAGAAGTTTCAATAATGTTTTTCTATTTACACTGTCAAACGCTTTTTCATAATCAATGAAGTTGATGTATAGTGACGAGTTCCACTCAACTGACTGTTCGACGATGATCCGTAGTGTTGCAATTTGGTCTGTTCACGACCGATCCTTACAGAATCCAGCTTGTTGATCTCGAAGATGGACGTCTACTGCATCCTTCATCCGGTTCAGCAAAACTCTGTTGAAGACTTTCCTTGGTATTGACAGTAGTGTAATGCCTCCGTAGTTTTCACATTTGCTCAGATCTACTTTCTTTGGAATCTTGACGAGGTGTCCTTCTTTCCAGTCCATCGGCACTTGTTCCTCCTCCCAAATCTTTTTGAATAGAAGATAAAGCATGCTTGTGGTTGCTTCGATGTCTGATTTCAGTGCTTCAGCTGGTATGTTGTCGGGTCCTGCTGCTTTCCCGTTCTTGATTTGTCTGACGGCCATTCTAATTTCTTCCGTAGTTGGTGGATTGACATCTATAGGAAGATCTATGTGTGCTGCTTCGATGTCCGTTATATTCATTGGAACCGGCCTATTCAGGAGTTCCTCGAAGTATTCTACCCATCTGTTACGCTGTTGTTGAATTTCAGTGATTGACTTGCCTTCTTTGTCTTTGACCGGCCTCTCTGGTTTACTGTATTTCCCTGATAGTTTCTTTGTTGTATCATAAAGCTGTTTTATATTTCCTTCTCTAGTAGCTCGGTTTTCACCATGAAGCGTCATAATTCTTCTAAATGAAGTTCTTCAAACTCCCAGGGCAGAGTTAAAATGGTTTGGATTATTTTTTCTGGTAAGCGTTTTTTTAGCGAGTTAGTTTTCTACGGGATGAGTACGCTAACCCCATGCCCAACCCTCCTCCTTTACCCGGGCTTAGGACCGGCAGCAACCCTATAAGAGCTACATGCGGAGAGACGATCAAGTCTGAAACGATTAATTGGCACTTTGCAAATGAAGTATTTACTGTATGGTTCTTTGATTTTACTAAGGAATTCTGTAATTTTATACTCAAATAGCTTTAGTTACCTTCACTGGTGTTCTCGTTCACCACACATTTATTACACGATAAAAAGACGCATCATATAGACAAAACTTTATCAACTTTTCCAGATTATTATGAAATAGTTACACTATTCGGTGTCAAAATAGTCCTTTCTATACATAATTATCACAATATACACTACTTAGTTTATAGAGCGATCAGTATAATAGTAATAATAATGAGTTATTAGTTCAGTGGCCATACTGCATGAGTACTTTATATACATAATGAAAATTGGATGAAACAACTATGCTTCTCTGGTTTGTTTTAATTACCTGATGAAAGATGCGCAACTTGATCATCATTATTGGCAGCTTTCAAATATAATGATGAATGTGTAGTATTTAATTCTGATTGGTCGATATTTGTCGAAGTCTTCAACATCATATCATTGATGTTTTAATAATTGATATAATTGATATTTTTATAGTTCAGATCATTAGACAATTAAAGCTAGACCACCATGGAAAACCTGGAAGCACTGGACAGCCGTTTTGTCCTATTATTAGACTCCATAGCAGTGCGTAATCACGACCCCGCCTCGCGAGATTCGAACTCAGAATCCATCGATCCCGCATGCAAACGTTTAACCTCCAGATCACTGAGCCTGCATCCATTGATAATTTAAAATAAACATTGAACTGACGAATTTTCTATTCCATCAGTTATCAACCAGTGTGAGATTTTCTGTTCAAGCCTTCGTCTGACAAAAACTTATGCTTCCCCAAACTAATATCAATCTGAGACAAATTTAACCTACAAATAAACTTATCTTTATAAAACTTATTCAGTTGAATTACAGTTAGAATTTATTATGAAAAAGTTAGGTTTTTCATGCTTTTCTGTATTGATACGTCAAGTTAAAAATGCCTAATAATAATTGCTTGAAGTTGGACGATCTAGACCTCGCAGATGATCTGGCCCTCCTATCTCAAACGCAACAACAAGTGCAGGGGAAGTTAAACAGTGTGGCAGCAGCCTCAGCAGCAGTAGGTCTCAATATACACAAAGAGAAAAGCAGGATTCTCACATTCAACACAACATGCACCAATCCAATCACAATTGACGGAGAAGATTTGAAAAATGTAAAAACTTTTACATATTTGGGTAGCATCATTGACGAACAGGGTGGATCTGATGCAGATGTGAAGGCGCGGATCGGCAAATCATGAGCAGCATATTTACAACTGAAGAGCATCTGGAACTCAAAGCAACTGTCAATCAACACCAAGGTAAGGATTTTCAATACAAATGTCAAGACCGTTCTACTGTATGGGGCAGAAACCTGGAGAACTACGAAAACCATCATCCAGAGAATACAAGTGTTTATTAACAGTTGTCCACGCAAAATATTTCAGATCCGTTGGCCGGATACTATTAGCAACATCGTACTGTGGGAGAGAACAAACCAGATCCCAGCGGAGTAGGAAATCAGGAAGAAGCGCTGGAAGTGGATAGGACAGACATTGGGGAAAGCACCGAACTGCGTCACAAGACAAGCTCTCACATGGAATCCTCACATTCAAAAGAGAAAAGGAAGAACAAAAAAAATTACGCCGGGAAAGTGTGATAGACTTGAGAAAAATGAACAAGAATTGGATGCAACTGGAAAAGAAGACTCAGGACAGAATGGTTTCGTTAGGACCGTTAACCTTGAGGATAATGCTGATTCGACTTATTCGGAACGGAACGAAGGCTCAGGATTCAGAGACTCAATAGACTATTCTGGTCCGTTGTCTTCGACTCAGCTAACTCGATCAAGAAGTCTTGGTACGGTGTAGAAAGTGTATTCTACAAGCAACAGCAGATACCAAGTCAGGCAGGCAGATCAGATCAAGCATACAAGTCAAGCGTATTCATACAAATATATATCGATTTTGTCATAGGAAATTTTTAAACAATAGTCAATGATTCATCAACTGACTGCCATTCAAATATTTAACTTTTAATCGATAATTTAATCGATATGATAAAATTACAAAATATGAGTTTGATGATATATCGGCCCCAACAATTTTGGAGAATGCTGGTCTGTGGCCCATGCTCCATTGGGATTAACAGGCGTAATTAAGTAAATAATCATTGCAAATCACATATATCATTATTTCGATAGTTATTTTCACTGAGTATTTCTTACTTGTCTATGCGTATCCAGTTTCAATCACCCTCACCTCCTCTCTCTCTCGTCTAACCTACTTGGTAATTATGAGATTTATTTACAAGATATATATTGGTCTGTATATATATATATATGGGAAGGGGGGCGCTTTCTTTTATAAATAAATAGACGAATAAAACAAGTACGCGTCTAAAGTCCAAATTAAAAAATGATTATGTATTTGAAACAAGACAATGGTATTTCGAAAAACAAAACAAATATTGAGATTATGAACCGATTTAAGTTAGATACACATTGAAAATCTAATATTACTGGGTGCCCGTTTTGTTCGACTAGAAGACTTCTCAGCAACGACGATCCACAGTACCCTTGAAACCTGGAATTTTTATTCGAGACCACTGATTCGGCATCCAACTAACTTTAATATCGTTGAATGCTGGATCAATTGTTAAGACATTCCATTCTAGATTACAGAGTCATGGATACGAATTGCTATATGTCCATCACTATGATGTAATAGACAATACAATTCTTCATAACCCTATCACTAATAGTGATCGTTTATTTAATGTTTAAAAAGCTGAGTTAACTGGAATTTCGTAAATTATAAATAGGAGGAAGGCTGATCAATACATTTCTGGTGTACTTTAGAGAGAAAAAGCTTTCAGGAAATCCATGAAACACTCAGGCGTTATATATGGAGATGATGTACAAAACAAACCAGCTGTTTACAAGTGCACCTGGGACCAATTCAAACAGATGGTTGACGACTGATATGGAGTAAATTTGAAGGAGTTAAGATTGATTTATTTTGAAATTTGCAAAATTAACTTGCAGTATAATCACCCCAGCGTACTTATTTATTGAACAAACTACATAGACATTATTGAATACAAGAATTAATTTTGTTCAACAAAAGAGTTGCTTTTATCAACGACCAATGCTCCACTAAGATCGCACTGACCAATAATTCATAAAACAGATAGAAAGACATTAATTACGTCGATAAAGCATATGTTCACCGTTATCCATTTAAGTAATAGAACATATAGGCCGATTTCTAATCATAATGAACATAAATCGAGGTGGACTTGTGAATTAGTATTTCAGTGATAAGCCTTGCAGATTGAACGCTATGTTCATTTCCTAAGCTATTCTGTAACCAACAAGCTAGAACTATAAAACGACCTGAACACGAGAGAAAAGACTCAAGGTATGCGAGAAGTAGTTTACTCCAAGGTTCATTTTAATATAGGAAATACAAAATTTTTATATTTTAAATGTCCTTGGGCTGCTAAAGAATTCTGGAATGCTACTAAACATAATAGCACTGATGAACTGTGTTTAATTGTATATGAACATCTCCAATTTTCGCATTAAGCTACAAGCATTATAAGCAAAAATGGATATTAGTCAACAGTGGAATACAGAACGTGCGTTTCGTCTTATCTAGGACTCATCAGATGGGTATACCTGTATTCCATGAATTAAACGTCATTCCATTGCACAAATGAGTTGCTTTTCGAACTCAGTAGCTAAATGAATGACGCGATGGTGCTCCGAACAGACGGTAGTAAGGTCGAGTACCAGAGTGAACATCAACTCTCGAATGCAGATATATCCAGCTGACCAGTCCCAGACAGGATGAAACGCGTGTATTGGGTCTCACTGCTAGCCACAATTACCTCTGTTTATAAGCACAACTTTATCTCTAATTACGCCATAGTCTGATCGACTTATTTATTAGTTTACACCCTAATCAAACTTATTCGATTTGAGAAAAATATCTGTTAGTTATGTTCTTCATAGATTACTTTCTCTTAGAGTACTTATATAAAACTAGAAAACATTGGTTAACGATTTTATCCTAAGTAAAAAGACTCTGTTTCTTTTCAGTAATCTTCGTTTGAACTGAAAACTTCGTAATCATTTTCACTGGTAATTTTGTCCATGGACTTGATACTAAACCGTGTAATTACCACATACAAATAGAGAAAAACACTAGGTAGATGTTTTAAAATTAGCTAAAACTCTTTAAAAGTGCAGAGACGTAATTTCTAAACAAAATAAGACCTCGGGACAAAGTATCGATTGACAGGGTTCCGCAGGATTATAATTCGTAATAAAACCATTTCATTTCACGATTGTTAATGAATTCAGCAAACTGGGCAATCAGTGCAAATTAATGACATATATCTGTTTATTAGTCGACAAATGAATTGATAATAATCAGCTCAAGACTTTCAGGACTCATTGGGAGGAATTGTTTGTATTTATTTAAACACATAAATACTGGTATAGATGCGTCACACAGGTCATTCGATTTGTGTGAGCGTTGTAATACTGATCAGGCATTCAAGCCGAAACAAATGGTTTTCTTCAGGTGCTACTCCTCAAGCCTCTGACCTACAGGTGTAACCTACAGGACAGTGGATCAACGCTAGGCGATGCAGTCACATTGTAACCGCTGGCCAACAACAGGTTGATACACCTATTGTTCCCTCAAGATTATGGAGTCCATGTGCACCAATTAACCTAGATGGACCCTCTGCGTCCACCAACCCGGCTAAAGCGCCGGATATTCTCTTTTCGTCTTCTCCATTTCGTAAACAGCGCCTCTGCAGCGAGAGGCTAGTGGGTAGGACTTTCATGGAAGTGGCTGTATTCGCGTGGATATGTGAGACATTTCGAGTGGAGGAGCTGACTCCCTTATGGCCGTGCCAGAGCCTGTAGGTTCAGGATCACATAGTTGAATATATTCAGAGGGTTCTTTACATTCTGTCAATAAATAATACGACCTAAACGGAAATAAGACACCCTTTGGAGCACCAATTGAGCTGTTCACCACTGAATACCAATCTGGTAGTTTTCATTGGCACACACTCACTGAGAAATTTTAAGATCCTGTGTTCGATCTCTGTTGGTAAGATTGGGGATACATATTGGTGCGGAGTCTCATAGTAGGACGAAATAGCTATCCAGCCATACCACTTGGTTTTCTATGGTTGTTTAACTAATGGTCAGTCTGTAACATAAACTATATTGTTATCGACTGAAAAAAATACGCATGAACTCTAGTGTGTAAATCTGATAATAACAAGACTGTAGCTGATTTACATAAGTTTCTTCTCCTGCCAATAATAAAAATTCCATTATAGAATGTATGTCTATTCATGATAGTAGTGAATACAATCATAACATAGCTTGATTAAACAGAACGAAAGAGTTCCCTCTATTGTCTTACAAAAATTACACCATCATAATTGCATTAAAAAGACAAAAAGTACATTGAGCATTAAACAAATGATTACGATACAATTCAATTCACTGTGATGTGTGCTACTTATATATACATAAGTAGTATAAGTCAGTCAGTCAGCTACAATGTAGGACCAGGCACATGTGTGCATCGGTCCAAGTTGCCACACTTCATTAGCACAACATTATGAACACCGGATTCATAGAAGTAGTTAACTAATTGGTGGTAATATAAAAAAAATAAAGATTGCATATAAGGACATAATACATGAAGAAAGAATTAGTCTGCAGAAAGAAAGATATGAAGCGATTTTAAAACGTCAGTCGGGAATAGAATGTCTGGTAGCAGAAGGTCGAGAAGATCGAAAAACGAAAGAACGGGCACAGAAAGTAATCGGTATAGAAATGCGGGAAAAATGACATCTGAGACACTTAATTAACATTTTGTAAACGAAGTATTTATTGTATGATTCTCCTATTTTACTAAGATATTCTATTATGTTGTATTAAAATACATTCGATTGTCCCCACTTGTGTTCTCGTTCACTACATTACAACTGAACTAATCGTGAGATAAATAACACAGTCTTTTTGAAATCAAGAACAAATTAGTGAAGTTTGAACATTGAACCTAACTGTTTAACTAATAAAGCAAAACAATCTTTACACAATAAAACAAACAAACAAACAAATGTCGTTATGACTTTTTCTAATGAGTCATAGTCAAGAGGAGAAGAGCTTTTATGAAGAGAAAATGGATTATCTCTAGTATGATTAATTGAAATTAACACGTTGGTGATTTAAACAAAAATTCAATTACTGTTACATCCAGTTTGAATGAGGTTCTCTCTCTGTTGATTGGTTAATTTATAGATTATATTCATCTCAGATGGATCATAGAGTATAATCGAAAAATATTGAACACCGAATCACTGTTACAGCAGTAGTGCTTCGACTGAGATCAATCTGTGATAAATGCTACCTATAAATTAAATTAATTGGCATAAAACTACTTTGACTTAGCAATAATAATCAGCTCACTACTAATGACTTATTTCAAGATGTTCCTGAAGTTCTAGTACATCATTTTATGATATAGAAAGAGACTATTGAAAATCAATTTAACCTATCTCGATAGACGTATTCAGTTAGAAAGGTAGGTTAGGGTGAGTGCAATAATCACTATCATAACAAATAATTAACTGAATAATAAAATAAACCAGTGAAGTAACCAATCAATAAAAATCAACGATTTCGTTGAGTACTTTTGAAGTCATTCTCTTGTTGTTTAACAGTAAATCGACGACGTTGAATTAATTATCCCTGAAGATTTCGTCATTTGAATTCATCATCAATCGGTGACGAAATTTGAAATTATTTAGTGGTTAGATGGTGTCATTTTCACTGATGAAAGTTGAAGATAATGGGTATATTTGTTTCAATTTATCTTGACTTTTGATAGTCATCAAACTAATGTCAACTCAGAAATTTCAGAAATTCTCATTGTGGAAATTAAAACAAGATATCTATACGAGATACCATGCCAGTGTCCATTCTACAAGACTTCAATGCAATTTTGATCACGAACACGTAACTGATCACACTAGAACATTAGTATATTTCAACGACATTAACGAACAATAAGAAGTAATAATGTTATAGGAAACATATGGCACATCTAATACTTGTCAGACCATCTACTACTCTGACTAGGTAAACAACCAATCAGTATTTTCATCAGCTACATATCAGGTTTACGTTTTTATAACTTGAGTCAGCTCGCAGTAAGCCTCAATAGTGAGTAATTTCGTGAAGTAATGCCTAGAGTTCTAGTAACAGGCTATGATCAATGTAGTTCGGTTATATCGAGTCCGAGGCAACTACGCATCAATGTCACTAGATAATGATTTCGTAATGTTGTAAGTTGACTGACTGACGGATTGTCTTCACATGCATCAACCATTAGGTCCCAACTAGTTAGTGTAAGAATTAATGTCTTGCCATCAAGTCTGAAATTCTTTGAATGGTTCATCAGTGTCAAATACTGAACAGTTCAATGCTACAATGAATGAAATAGCCATTTATTGTTTCCTCATTTTCAATGATTATCTGCTTACAATCAGTCCATCATGAGTATAACATGAACATTTAAACAATCTCTGTAATAAACAAAAAACAAACTAATGCTTACCAATATATTCTAACACTATGCCTTTTCCATGAATAATATATGGATCTAATAAATTTAAATTTGATGTAAACTGTAAACCGTATACATTACTGATTGGACCATAAATTTGCCCAACTAAACATGATTCATCTGGTGGATATAATGTATTACAATCTATTGAATTAAATGAAAATGATCCAGAGGAGATTGAAGATGAAGAAGAAGAAGAAGATAATGATGATGAATTGGTCATTTGTATTTCTGTTAATTTTGTATTTGTCTTTGTAGCGATTGTTTTCAATGTGGAATTATTGATTAAACAAAAACGAATTATTGGTATATTGCTAATTGTACCATCATAAACATTGGAGATGCGAGCATCGACTGACAAATAATCATGACTACATGCAATTCCAGGATTTGATGGACATGCTGATCCAGTAGCTAATATTAAATTATTATTATGATGATTACGATTATTATTTGATAACGATGACAATGATGAAGTAGATGAGGATGATGAAGAAGCGAAAGCCGATGAAATTTCATCTACAATAGTGTAAAGGAAAAACAGTACAAACAGCATAAAATGTGATGAATTGTATGGTGTTATGAGGTTTATATCAATCTATTTCAATCACACTTGATTAATTCAACCATTAAAAAGCGGATAAACACGTGATGTATGCTACTTATTTTGACAGATATAAGTAGTATGTAATACCAAAATGAAATAGACTGCCTGTTAGCAAAAGTTTCAGATTGAATTACGAAAAACAGAAAAGGAAACGGTGAGGAATTACAATGACAGCCAAATATGAAGAATGAAGAAGTATGTACACGACAACTGAAAGGAGACTTGCAAATAAAGGACTTAATTTTATGAAAGCATAGTGATGTTTGACGCCAATTGATAAATTGGTTATCCTCACATAAGTGTTCGTTCAGTGCATTCGAATATTGTGTAATAACGTTTTATTGTCAACAGCATTGATTAATACTGACTGTTTTCATATTTTCATCAATTGAATTAAATAAATTAAACAGTTACTTTTGACAGCCTCTACTCCTATTTTGATATCACATACTATGACGTTTTTCTGGTTTATCAATACGAACATCAAGACAGTTCTACTGTATGGAGCTGAAACCTCAAAAACTATAACAACCATCATCAAAAATGCACAAGTATTTATAAACAATTGTTTACGTAACATACTGAATGTCCGTTGGCCGTATATCATCAGCAACAGCCAACTGTACGAGAGAACAAACTAGCTTCTAAATGAAGAGGAAATTACGAAAAGACGCTGGATAAGACATATATTGCGGAAATAAAAAAAATGAATCGCGAGGCATGTCCTAATTTGCAATGAAAGGGAGGATCAGAAGCAGAAATCAAAAGAATCAATAGTAACTGGAAGTAATTTCTCAGTACAGAGTCCCAAGAAGAATTCTGGTACAGCGGCCTAAGCTCCTCCACGAGGGTTAACAAGGGTAAATAATGATATCAAACTAGGTTAATTGCACTAATTTTAGATTGAAATTTAATCAAAACATAAAGAATGCCTTTGATGTAAAAAATACTTACTTAATTATTTACTTACGCCCGTTACTCCTCTTGAAGGAGCATAGGCCTCTCACCAGCATTCTCCATCCAACCCTGTCCTGGGCAATCCCTTCTAGCTCCTTCCAGTTGTAATTCATCCTTTTCATATCTGCTTCTATTATCCGACGCAATGTGTTCTTTGGCCTTCCTCTTTTCCGCTTCCCTTCAGGATTCCAAGTTAGGGCTTGTCTCGTGATACAGTTTGACGATTTGCGTAATGTATGTCCTATCCATTTCCACCGTCCTTTCCTAATTTCCTCTTCAGCTGGAAGTTGGTTTGTTCTCTCCCACAGAACGCTATTGCTGATGGTATCCGGCCAATGGATGTTGAGTATCTTGCGTAGACAGTTATTTATAAATACTTGTACTTTTTTGATTGTGGTTGTTGTAGTTCTCCAAGTTCCAGCTCCATACAGTAGAACTGCCTTGACGTTCGTATTGAAGATTCTCACTTTGATATTGGTTGACAGTTGTTTTGAGTTCCATATGTTCTTCAATAGTAGGAATGCGGCCCTTGCTTCACCAATCCTCGCCTTTACGTCTGCATCGGATCCTCCTTGTTCATCGATGATGCTTCCTAGGTATGTGAAGGACTCTACATCTTCCAGAGTTTCGCCATCAATTGTGATTGGATTGCTGTTCTCCGCTTTGAACTTGATGACCTTGGTTTTCCCTTTGTGTATGCTGAGGCCTACTGATGCAGAGACTGCTGCTACATTGGCTGTCTTCATCTGCATCTGTTCGTGTGTACGTGATAGGAGGGCTAGGTCATCTGCGAAGTCCAAATCGACCAATTGATACTGAGATGTCCATTGTATTCCGTGTTTTCCTTCCGATGTCGAGGTCTTCAAAATCCAGTCGACCACCAGAAGAAAGAGGCAGGGAGAGAGTAAACAGCCTTGTCTGACTCCGGTCCTTACTTGGAATGCATCTGTCAGCTGTCCTCCATGCACTAGTTTGCACTGTAGTCCGTCGTATGAGTTCCGGATAATATTGACAATCTTCTCAGGAACTCCGTAGTGTCGAAGAAGTTTCCATAATGTTTTTCTATTTACACTGTCAAATGCTTTTTCATAATCAATGAAGTTGATGTATAGTGACGAGTTCCACTCAACTGTCTGTTCGACGATGATCCGTAGTGTTGCAATTTGGTCTGTGTACGACCGATCCTTACAGAATCCAGCTTGTTGATCTCGAAGATGGACGTCTACTGCATCCTTCATCCGGTTCAGCAACAATCTGTTGAAGACTTTCCTTGGTATTGACAGTAGTGTAATGCCTCCGTAGTTTTCACATTTGCTCAGATCTACTTTCTTTGGAATCTTGACGAGGTGTCCTTCTTTCCAGTCCATCGGCACTTGTTCCTCCTCCCAAATCTTTTTGAATAGAGGGTAAAGCATGTATGTGGTTACTTCGACGTCTGATTTCAGTGCTTCAGCTGGTATGTTGTCGGGTCCTGCTGCTTTCCCGTTCTTGATTTATCTGACGGCCATTCTAATTTCTTCCGTAGTTGGTGGATTGACATCTATAGGAAGATCTATGTGTGCTGCTTCGATGTCCGTTATATTCATTGGAGCCGGCCTATTCAGGAGTTCCTCGAAGTATTCTACCCATCTGTTACGCTGTTGTTGAATTTCGGTGATTAGCTTGCCTTCTTTGTCTTTGACCGGCCTCTCTCGTTTATTGTATTTCCCTGATAGTTTCTTCGTTGTATCATAAGGCTGTTTCATATTTCCTTCTCTAGTAGCTTTTTCTGCCGTCGTTGCTAGTTCTTCCACGTTTTTCTTCTTGTCGGCTCTGATGCTCCTCTTCACTTGTTTGTTTGCTTCTATGTATTCAGCTTGTGCTTGGACTTGCTCTGCTCGTGTTCGGCTGTTGTTTATTGCTGCCTTCTTGTTCTTCCTTTCTTCGATCTTGTCCAGTGGTTCTGTAGAGATCCATTCCTTATGATGGTATTTCTTTAGACCGAGAACCTCTTGACACGTTGAAGTTATTGCTTCCTTGACGCCTTTCCAGTCGTCCTCCATAATAGTTTCTTCTCCTTTCAGTAGATCTTGTAAGGCTTGGAACCTGTTGTTGAGAGCTATCTTGAATTCATTGAGTTTGACAGTGTCTCAAAGGAAGGCTGTATTGAACCTTTGTAGTGCTGTTTGTCCACTTGTCCAGTTCTTTTTTAGCTTCAGTTTCAAATTGGCTACAACAAGGTGGTGATCTGAAGCTACGTCAGCACCTCTCCTGGTTCTCACATCTTTCATTGTCCTTCGGAATTACTTGTTGATGCAAATATTATCTATTTTGTTCACCTTCTTTCCACTCTTGTTGATTATGTAGTGTTTGTTTGTTCTTTTAATAACTTGATATGATCCGTCGTAGGGTTGTTTCAGTGGCTTTGTAACATCAACAACTTGAATACGAATTTGCGCGTTTCTAGATTTTTGTTGAGTTGTGTTCGATTATTATGTTCGCGCGGCGGTATGGCTTTGATTCTTTGCATGGTTTGCAGTAGTTGACTAGCGAAACGGCTTGGGTCCGTTGGTACTGATTTGTTTAGGTCTACTAATTGACCTGATAATGTAAGAGTTGTGCCGTAAACTACCTCGGCGGCTGTACAGCCTACATCTTCCCATATGGTTGGCCGGATTCCCAGGAGTACGAGTGGTAATGCGTCACTACACTTTGTTGTAGCCTCCTGTGCCATCAGAGAGCTTCTTAATTGGCGGTGAAACCTTTCGACCAAACCATTAGCTGCTGGGTGACAGGCTGTAATTTTGATGTGGTTCATACCCAGAAGTCTTGTGAATTCCTGAAATAAGATAGATTGCAACTGAGGACCACGATCTGTAGTGATTATCGAAGGCACTCCATAGTTCGATATTTAGCAGTCAAGGAAAACGGATGCTACTGTTTCAGCAGAAGTGTCTTTGATAGAGCATTCCATAGCCCATCTTGTCAACCTGTCCACCGCGATGAGAGTGTGAGTGAAGCAATTTGACGATGGCAGGGTCCAAACTAAGTATAAATGAATATGTTGAAAACGTTTGTTGGGGATAGGAAATTCCCCGATTGGGCTGATGGTGTGCTTTTGGATTTTGCTGCGTCGGCACTGTAAGCAGCCACGTGTCCAATGTTTAATATCCGAATTGATTTTTGGCCAAACGAAACGTTCTGTTATAAGCTTTGTGGAGCTCTGATGCCTGGATACGACAGTTCATGTAGCTGTTGAAATATTTTTCGTCGACAAGGTTGTGGCACAAAGGGGCGATTATTACCCGTTGAAGTGTCGCAAATGATAGGTGCATCTGAGAAAGGGATGGGTACACGTTAAGGATTCAGGTTAGACTTCTCTTTGCACGCCTTTAAATCTGCATCGTCTACTTGTAGTTTAGCTAAATTTTATTTATTATTATTTATTTGAACACATAAATATTGGTCCAAGACAGCGCCAATATATATGTGCCACACAAAACAATCTGAATTCGAAGAGAAAGGAAGGTAAGGAGCGTAAGAAAAGAATAATAACAAAGAGCTTGGTGTAAGGTAGTGTAGTAATAATAATGATAATAATAGGGGAGCGAAAACGTACAATCAGAAGAAATCTTTCAGTAAATGAAGATACAACCACATTTTACAAAGAAAGTAAAATAAGGTTGCAGCAGGATCGCCACTGGCTTGTATTCTGAACCATGTCTGATAACGTCTCTAGCTACTGTGTCGCACCATCTCACGGACCCCAGTCAGGGAGCCGTGTAGGACCAACAGAAGCCAGCTTCCTTTCATATCACGACACCTTGTCATACACTGGCCTTTGTAAACAGTGTCGTCAGTTCCTTAGTCAGACCAAGGCATGATCAGAGTCCAGAAAGGTAATCCAAAAGGAGAGGCAGTCTTGTACACAACAACGCCAGCGGTAGCTGATCGCGGTGTGATCAGATGCAGAGGG